GCAATAATGAGGGAGTTCTAAGCATAAAATACTAAGACCAATGAGGAGAAAAGTCAATAAGTGTTGGAAGCAAAGGACTATGTCCACAAGTGATACACACATACACAGATTCAGAATTGTACAATGCAAAACAGGCTATGCTAAAGTATAGGGTTACTCAAGTTATGTCAGAAAAATGACAAAAGAACAGGAAATAGCCAAACATAATAAATTTAATCATATTACAAAAGCAAACATAAACTAGGGAGTTGGACAATTGTAGCTTTTCTTATTTTTTAATCTAGCACAGAAAAAAATGTATCTGTTTAGTTTTAAATATTTTTAAAAGAGAAATAACACAGATACCAGTGTGGAACATACCAGCTATGATTAAAAGATGATATTTGACCACAAATGGGGAAAAAGTGGCTCTATCCAGTGACAGGCAAAAATGTGCAGTCACAATTTCTTGAATTTTTGGATGCTGAAACCATAGAGATAAGGTTTTTAAGACTTTAGAAATGAAATTAAAACAAACTGAAAGGAAACCTAACATGCCAGGGTCTATGGATGGAGCAGAGGTATTTTGAAGGATTTCTCAATAAATTCACCTACCGTATCACTCAAGTTAGATGAGGATTGTCTCACAATGTACCATAAACCAAGTTTCCAATGTTATGGTCAATATACATTAAGTATACATAAAGATAATAGTAAGAGTTAACTGGTGACTTCACAAGAGACATCTGAACACATAATTCTCAATGGGGTATTTTCATCAAATTCTTCCTCTCAGAGCTCTGAGAAACCTGTGGAGGAGGATGCGTGAAGAGTGAAAGGGCCAAAGGGTGTGAAGGATACTAGGAGCACAACAGCCTGTAAAATTTAGTAATTCTCAACCTTCTTAATGCTGGAACTCGTTAATACAGTATACTATAAAATTACTTTCATTGCTATTATATAACTGTAATTTTGCTACTGTTATCAGTTGTAATGTAAGTGTATATGGTTTCCATTTGTTTCAGGCAACCCCTGTGAACACCCAAAGCAGTCATGACCCATGGATTGAGAACCACTGAGCAAAGAGAATGAGTAAGTCTGTGATTCTTGTTTTTTTCCTTCTGTTGGATTCCTTTGTCCAACTTGAATGTGATGTTTTTTGTTTATCTCATATTTTATTTTGTTATGTTTTATTGTTATCTGTTAAAAGTCTATTCTTCTTGAATGAGAGACAGAGAAAGGGTATATGGGAAGGGAGGTAGAGAGGAGTACAGGGAAGGAAAAATTATTAAACTAATGTCTCAGTAATACCTCTAACCCAAATAAGTATTAAAAAATTAGATAGAAAAGTCTTTTTGAGAGGCAACAAAAAGGAACTCATAAACTAAAATAGTTTCAACTATGGGAGAAACTGAAGAAATGCTAAACCACAGACTTTAAAAACAAGTAGGGAAAACTAACAAAGAAAATGTACTGAGCCTTTGTAGTTGATAAACTGCGAGTCACAAGAGTTATAGAGAGAAGAAGGCAAACAATGAAGAGAAGACAATGAAGAGTTATTTCAAGGTTTTTCTTTATGAAAATGAGAAATAGGAGCTACACTGAAAAGTATAGCAAAGGCTAGTACAACAGGGACACACAAATACACATCTAGGATGAGTGAGAAAGAGAAAAAGAAAAAGACACAGACACACAGAGATACATAGAAGACAGTGAGAAGTGGGGAAACAAGAAGAAGGAAGAGGAAAATGAGAAGAAAGAACAGAAGGAAGAGGAGGAGGAAAACGGAAGGAGGAGTATGGGGAGAAGGAGGGGGAGAAGTGGAGGAGGAGCAGGGGGAGGAGTAGAAGGAAGAGGAGGAGGAGAATCCTGGAGGATTGTGACTCTTTTGGTGATATCTTGCTTGTACAAATAAAGCCTTCTGAAGGTCAGAGAATGGACCTTGCCCTAGATAAACATAGAGGTCTGGAAGTCTGTACAGACATACAAGAAGTGAGATGACAGAGTAGAAACAGGGAGTAAGATGGCTGGGTGGAGGGAAGATGTAAGTAGGGAGAAATAGGAAATCATTCTCTTGTCTGATAAGAAGCTAAACAGGTAAGGTCTGGCTTAGGCTTGCCCCTTCTCTCTGATCTCTCAGCATTTTCCTCCATATCTGACTCCAGGTTTTTTATTACTTAGACCAATTAAGAACTCCCATTTTACACATTTTCCAAGACTTCAGGTTTTTTTCACAGCAGTTTAAACATTAAAGAATCAGATAAGAAAAAAAAAAAAAGCACAAACATGAGGATGAGGAGTAGAGATAAAGGAAGGGAAAGAGAACAATGTCTTCCTAATTGTCAAAGAACAACCAAATTATTACAAATGGTGATACGGTAAAAGTGCTTTTAGGCATAAAACATCTAAAACCAATGGGACTGTTCTGCATTCCTATTGAGAATAATTATTACAAATGGTGATACGGTAAAAGTGCTTTTAGGCATAAAACATCAAAAACCAATGGGACTGTTCTGCATTCCTATAAAAGCTACCAAAACTTGAGAATAAATCCAATAAGTATATGATAGAGGTTATGGGAAACAAGAAAATCATTACATCAATGAGGCAAATAGCTTTTCACAATTGCACATGCTGTAGGTCTGGCCAATTTTCAGCTCTCAATGGAGTAGACTGACTCAGATTTTGTGTACAATTAGGACATTTGTACCCAAAATTCTCATTGCTATTGTTCTACCTTTAGAAGCTGACACTAAATCCCAAAACAGTCTCTCTACAATGCTGTAAACATACCATTGGTATTAAAAAAAAAAAAAAAACCACAGATGAGTTTATTATACTTTTCATGATCTAAGATTGCTTTAACTTCTCTGAAAATTATAACATCAAAGTTGAGTATCTTCAGTGATCTTGGTTTCAAAGGCACAAATAAATATGGCTAGCACTAAAATGACTAGCCACAATTATATACAGATATTTTTTCTTCAATTACAGAATGTTTCATAATAAATAGACATCAAAAGATGCCATGATCCTAAAATACTTTCAAATCAGTAGTGTTTAGTACACAATAATACTCAATAATGGTGTCATGGAATTTGTATTTTGATTATATATGCACTTATATACATATAAATGAGCAACAAAATATCAGAAACATTGTCATCAATTTTTTACTTTTATACAGTAGACTTTATTCCTCTTGTGTTCCCATAAAGGTTAGGGTTGTTCACTAGTAACTGTATGTTTCTTTGGCATTCCCATAGAACTTCAGGTTACTTAGTTGTGGTACATGTGAATTTTAATCTCTAGAGTCTTCAGCCTGCTGGGTTTCTACAGTTGCAGTCCATCCTGTCTCCATTCACCCTCTGAAGTTACAAGTTACGATGATGAGTAGATCAGGTGTTTCCTTTGATTTCTAAAAATTTTCCTCTAAAGAATGATGATGATTTCCATAGCCTTCTTTCTCAGAGAATTTCTTTTCATTGTTTGATATAAGGTTGAACAGTAATTAGGAATTTCATTTATTAAAACCAAAATGAATATTTCATATATGTATAAGCACCTCATATAGGAAAGTATCTATCTGATCATAATTTAGACAACATTTAGGAATTAGAATTGTAAAGAACATACACTATAAATATCCATAAATAAATATAAATTAATTTTAAAGTTGAATGCAGAAAGTTTGTTACATATTTAAAAACCCTTTAATTCAATACTTATTAAAATCATTATCAAATTTTACTGGGAATCAAATACATCATCTTCTGACTACTCAACAATAAAATTTTAATTTTATGCCCATAGATTAATAAATATAGTGAGAAAAGTTGAATTTTATAAAGTACTTTAAAAATCAAATTAAGACATGATTGATCAAACAATCAACATATCAACACATATATTATAAAAATGGTTTAAAATTATTTCTTTAAAGCATATTTAAGAAATACCTAGTGAGAGCTTGTTTATATTTAATGAGCTGCTCAAGTGATCATTTTTTGATCCAGTTTCTCATTGAATGAGCAAATTCTACATGTCAGGTTCTAAATATTCATGGAATTTAGTTACAATATTAATTTTGAAGATTTTTATTGAAAAAATGACATTTTCAAAAGAATTAAAATTTGTTTTTTGAAAAGTACTTTTGTAATCTGAACACTTAATAATTTGTAAGTATTTTGTACTTGTTTACTGGTAAACATACCAGTACTGATATTTTTAGCAGATATTTATATGCCTCCAAAATTTTAGCATTAATAAAATAGTAAGAAAAATATGATAATAATCTTGTATAAAGTATTTAAAGCACTCAAATGTATAAGTTTTAATTAAACTGTGGCAACTTGAGTTTGTAATTCTTACTATTTTAAGAAATACTTCAGGAAATTTTACTAATAGTCTTCTGTCAGAGGCTCCAGGATAATTTCTTTCTTAGAATTAATTAATTAATCAGGGATATCAATTGAATCATACAGATTTGTTTTTCAATGTATAAATCTGGTATAATTTGTTTTTCGGTTTCTACTAATGTGTTAACGTATAAAATTAATTACTAACATTCATACTGAAACTGCCTCTCTTTGTTCCTCTGAACTTTATTAAACTGTCAATGCAAAAAATATTCTTAAAAGAGCTATGAGTGGAAAGTCAAATAGAGAAGTGATCATTACAGAGGACAAAGCAGAACAATAAAGGTAGTCAATTTCCAATTAAAAATGAGATAAGACAAGGTGTGTTGTCTCCACAACCATGTTTTTTCTCACTCTAATTGCCTTAAATCTAAAACCAATGTGTATGTAGGGGGAGTGGGTAGAGAGAGAGAGAGAGAGAGAGAGAGAGAGAGAGAGAGAGAGAGAACAGCAGCATCTCCTCTCCAGCAGGCCATTTCCTTTTTGCTTGTAGTTGAGGAAATACTAAGTTTGGGACCCAAAGCATTAACTGCTGTTGTATAGTTTCTGTACAAAAGTACATTTCATCCCTTTACACATACAAGAGAAAATCAAAGCCAAAGCTGAAAGTAAAATGGACATAATTTTAATGGATTTTTTAAAATTTTGTGCATTGGATTCAAACAGCAAACTGTGTGCACTCAACTGTTTTCACAATGTTGTCAAGAGATCTGTGTCTTTTTACCATTTTACACACAATTTTTCATTACAATGTTATCCACCCATGGGAATCAGGGGTGTGGCATGGTAAGCAGGGGTGGTAGTGCACCTAGCTTTTATATTACCTAACTTGAAAATATTTCTCTTCTATGATTCCTTTGTCATGATAAAAATAGTTTTCACCAAACGTTGGTGGTGCACACGCACTACCATTCATGCTTGACATCACACCCCTGACAGGAACACATGTTCATATTTGTTGATAAAAAGTATTACAAAAATTTCCATACAAAAACTATTTTCATAGAAATCTTGCATTTCCACAAATAAACCTGAACATTTTTTGGAAAAAAAAACTGCTCAAGAATTTTGTTCTTTTAATATTGTGACTATTGTTAAATGCAGTCCACTTCAAAGTTCTATTATGTACTTTTCTAAAGGTGGCAAGTCCCATTCTTTATCAATGAAATCTGCCCAGGCTCCATAAAGGTCTTTATAGCAGGAATGAGAGTTTCAGTTGACAAAACAGAATGTCAGAATGAAATCTTGGTCTTGCACAAAACCAGCAACACTGAACCCTGTATTACAAAGAATCATAAGGATTGCAAATCATCATCTTTCAATTAAGAATCTCTGAACCAACTGTTACTTTTTGTATTTCTGTTGTACGTTAGATAAGGGTTTTGGAGGTACAGATGGTAATCTAATTGTGTTGCCTGTGAGTGTTTAAAAAAAAAATTGCCTTAATATTTGACATTTATATCTCAATCCATGACAAAAACTATTACAAAAGAAAAAAAAGAAAGACAAGTAAAGGATGATGGTTTGTTTTCTGTTCAAATTGTAGGGAATGCTGGTGTGTTTAGCATTACATTTTTTCACTTGGCATGAGCAAATGTTGTCTGTTCAGATGATGATTAGACTGAGTATTGGGGGCTAGGAACATTATCACCTCTATTATAATGGTGACCAGGGGACTGTACTGTTTCTTGTAACTACAGTTTTTCCTGATTACACACACATTTATCCTTAAGACATTTTTATTAGTTGCCATTTTAGGAACCGACATTCATTCTCCTGACAAGAGTTGAACTTTAAAAGGAACCTGTAGTTTAACCCTGGACTGCATTTGAAACCAGCCACAACATTTGCATTCACTGAAAAGAAGGGAGGAACCCATGATAAACAGTGTAACCCCGTGTGACTTGCTCGAACCATGGTGCTTGTAAGTCAAGTCTGATCACTGCAACTGCTTAGATCTCAGAGTCTCTAGTTTATAGACACAGCGGCATGAGGTAACTCATTTTATTTTGCACAGGTTGCATATTTCCACAGGAAACATTCTCGCTAATTTGTATGGAAAAAAGACGACAGTTTGTGCTTGGGTGGCTGGCCTCCCAGCTTCATGCCATGGTTTCTTTACCTGGCAACCTTCTGTCATTAAATGTGTGCATGTTGATAACTTCTTCTGTTTTCACAATGACTGGGGCCTGTGGCTTATGTTTTAGCCGACGCTGGCACTTCAGGGACATCCTCAGTTCTTCCACCATAGCACTACAGAAGGACCTCTACAGAAGAACACAGAGAGATTGGACATTACAAAAGTGATATATGGACTTGATTTTACAATCATTCTCACAGACTGGCCAGCCTGCCAGGCTAAAACATGTTGACTATTTTATGATGATTAAATCAAATTATTATATTTTAATAAAAGACAATAGAATGAGATCATTACATTTTTGAGCTAGTTTAATGAGATTTGCCACCAGATAGTGAAAGAATCTCTCCATTAATAGTTTCTGTTATTTAAATAGATTAAATTAGATTTTCTTATGATACTATGGAAAATTGATTAGTGTTATGTTGATGTCTCACTTAAAGTGTAAATACAAATAAATCTCTAGCAGATTATCAATAGTGTTACCTAATTATAATAGAAAATGTACCTTTTTGAGTTAGAGGATGAGATACACAAATTTTCTCTAAACATTATTTCTCTATTGTTTAACTCAAAAAAACAAAAATGGCACTCAGACAAACAAAATATAAACAAAATTTCTGTAATTAAATTACAAGTTTTTCTATTATTATGTCTATACAGAATTGACAATGACTAGAAACATATATGATACAATCATGAAATGGGATATTGTCAAATTTTAAACACCTAAACAGGCATCATCTGTAATTCATCATGAATGACTTCATAACAGAGAGCTGAAAATAGTTTACCATATGAGAAAAAAATAACTCTAAGTTTTCCATCTTACTGGCAATAGATTTTCCACAAATTCTGCATCAATAGCTAGGACTCATTAGTACAGCTGCTGGATATTCATATTAGAGTCATTAATGTGAAATAAAATTTTGTTAATATCTTTCCTTACTTGATTAAGACATACAGAACAGATCCCTGAACCAATTTCATACTATAGTTGAAATTTAGAAGCTCTGAGACTGAAATTAGGATCTTCTGTTCAAAAAAAACCAAAATGTACACAACATACAAAGGTAGACATTTATGAAAATTCACAGCATTCAAAAAGATGATATGAAACAGGATGAAATAAAAAATAGATATTTTGAGATATATTACTGAGTTAGCCATTGCTGCTTTGCAGTTTATCATCTTAGGATACAGGCTTTAAAAATTATAGTATATGTGTCTGATGTTTTTTAAAATACTTTGCATGTGTAATCTTTTCTGACACTCAAAATTTTATTATAAAGTATTTGGGCCTCGCAGGATTGATGCACAGTAACTCAGAGAAAAAGTGACTTGCAACTGGGCACACAACGTAAAACAGCCTGACAATAGTCTTGTGATTTTTACATAGTTCCACAGCCTTCTTATTATTTCATGACCATATGTTCACTTCTTTAGAAAGGTTCTTTAAATCTTTGTTTCTTTTGTTGAATCTTTAAAGATTAAGACAGTAGAAGACGTGTTTATCATCATATAAGAAACAGGTCAAGCCGGGTGTTGTTGGCTCATGACTTTATTCTCAGCACTTGGGAAGCCGAGGCAGGAGGATCTATATGAGTTCCAGACCAGCCTGGTCTACAAGAGCTAGTTCTAGGACAGCCTCCAAAGCCACAGAGAAACCCTGCCTCGAACCCATTTCCCCCCCACACACAAAAAAAGAAACAGGTCAAATCTGTGTCTCCTGTTTTCTCCTACCCACCAAAAGTTCTCAGAATCAGTCCCATTACATTACCTATGTACCTGCCACACTTCCATGTTCTTCCTCTTTTATTGACACATTACTTTCTTCTTGGGCATCTATCCATATCCCCTCTGGTTTCTTATTCTGGTATTTGCTGTGCTGAGTCCTTTAAAGCTTAGTGTGACTCTAACTTTACTGCTTCAGCATACAATGCACGTTTCATTCCTGAAAGTTCCTTCTACAGGCTAATTCATCTTCACTCAGTTTAGTTTTATTCACTCAGTCTATTGCCCTCATTATCATTCTTTTATCTTTAGCCTCTGGGTTTTCAGTATTCCACTCTCACTGAAGTGTAAAGAGAATGAATTCATATTTACACACAGATATGCTCTTCCAACAGTCACCCAGTTAACCACAGCTGCACATGACTCTACTGTTTTATTTTTATTTAACAGTTCCTCTGGATACACTGAACAAAATTTTGCTTGTATCTTAGAAGCTTCATAAAGTACAATGAAAAACTTTAAGATATTAGTAACTTTGAAATAGTAAAACAATTCGTGTAATAGCACTTGTAATGCGTGAAGATTAAATGGTAGTCATGAATTACAAAATTGTTACCTGGAGTTATTCATTCTATGTTAAATTACAAATTTTGAAATTCATGATATATTTTAATTTAAGGCTCACTATGACACTGACAGCTGGTATAGTGGAATGGTGTTGCTTATTGATTAATACCTTCTATTAGAAGTATATATTAACAACATGATGATTATGATGATGAAGATGGTGATGATGACAACACAGTAGAAATGGAAAAATCTGACTCCAAAAGGGGGAGGAAAACATTGTCTTGAGGTAAGACAGTCTTGACTCTCTGTTGAAACATTTAATAGAAGAATTGATTAATATAATAGTTAATATGACAAAATTAGAACTCTATCTCATTGACATTTAAAACTGGTATAAGATGTGAATGAATTTAAATAATTAGAAAGTGGCTTTACTTAATATAGAGTTTCCAAATATTAGCTAATGTTTAACATATTTTTCAGTCTTAACCTCAGACTATTTGATGGTGTACATTTCATAGCAAAACAAAATGTAAACATTAAATTTATGCTCAAGAAATAGGCTAAGTTGCTTGTTTTCATGGGAAAACATCAATGTGCATACACATTCTATTGGGAAGGATTCTATTTCCTTTATAGTAAGGAATTTGGTTATTGTTATTTAGTGCTTGCTTTAGACTATACATTGATATATATGAAAAATTTTAAATTAATGTCATATAGTATCAAATTTATAATATTAATATAAAAACATAGACAAAATATTGCTTCAGTTAAATACCCAATATTTTTATCTCTTATAATATTAGATAATCTTAAGTGATATTTATACACTCTAGAACCATATCAAAATTGTAAATTGGAACCTCATTTCCCAAGCAATCATAAAGTAAAGAAAACTTTTATCTCAGAATTTTAAATCAATCTGTGGTCTTTATTATATAATTTAAAAATACCAATTTTGTTAATTTTCTCTCTGAATGAGCTGAAATTTGCCAGTACTTTCTTTACCTATTAGTGTCCCATTAACAGAAAAATATTTTTGTTTATGAATTAAGTCACTATGAGACAATAAGTTTTCATCTCTTTTTTTCTCATTCCAATCTCAAAAGAATTGGATAACTATAAAATTTGAACTAGATTTGTGATTAATTTTTATTCCTTTCTTAACATGTTGCCCCCTTCATCTACCTCTAATCTGAATTGCAAATTCACAAAATAGATATTAGTTTGTGTCTCTGGTTAAAACCACACAGAGTTTTTTTTTGTGAGCCTTCATTCTTTTACTTTGTGCTATCAAAAATTTACTATGATGTTTACCTATTGATTTAATTTCATATCATTCAAGAGAGATCAATTGCTTTTCTAAGTGCTAAATATGGATGGGGATTTTCTTTTATTTACATTTGAAATGTCTTTACAATACTCCTGTACTCTTAATATGACTTCGCTGCAATGTCATTAAGATATAGGAGGAAGGAATAATAGGAAATAAAAGAATCAAAGGGGACAGAGAGCAGAGAAGACGGAAGAGAGAGGGAAGAGAGGGAGTGGCAGCAAAGTACCTGGCCTTTCAAACCCTCTTTTGGGGGTGAAACCCAAGTGTTGTGGCCTTCGGTGTGGGAATTCCTTAGAGTGAAAACAATGGTAAAATGTTTCTTCACATTAAGGTAACAGACTACAAAAAGGAAAAGCAAGGCACAAGGATACTAACCATCATTAAAAACCTCTTAGAAACTTTCAAAAGTTTACTAAACAGTGTCTGGCTGGTATGGTGGCACTAACCAAATAGAAGATTCCTGAAAATGAAAATGTAAATCTTTGAGCTGTTAGCATGTATAATTGCATTAAAATCAGTAAAAGTCTTCATAAAATTTACTACATTGAATGAATCAACCTGTTATTTACACATCCCTGGAAATGAATGCCTTGAATGGCTTATTTGAAAAGCCCTATGTTATATTTTATTATAAGTCAAATCATAATTAAAACATAAATGATTTGCCACTCCCACCCAGAGCTGAGCAAAAAAAAAAAAAAAGAATAAAAAGAAAGAAATCTACCTGGAAATATGCTCCATATAGAACACTGACATAGTTGAAGTTTACTTTATGTTAAAACCCGTAACTGAAGAAAAAGAACTAGTCTCTTGTTTTCAAATTTAAATTTATTACCCTGCCATATAGAACACTGACATAGTTGAAGTTTACTTTATGTTAAAACCCGTAGCTGATGAAAAAGAACTAGTCTCTTGTTTTCAAATTTAAATTTATTACCCTATGTTAAATAAGTCTATTTGTCATCTAAAGAAATAATCATACAATATGTTTTATTAACAAGCTATATTTTATGTGACATGTTTTCCCAGTCTAAAAAATAATGAATCATTATTCTGCATTTCATTGAAGATAATTTATAATCACTTTTTGCCTCAAGGAATTGAAAATGTATGGAAAGATTTATTAGTTATTTGCTCAAGAACTGTGAGTCATGTACAGTGGGAGAAAATCAATACAGTAATTGAGATCAGTTACAGGAAATGATATCACATTAAGTAATTTCTAAGAAAATATCTAAAACATTAGGAAAAATGTGAATGTTACATAATATTTAAAAATATTGGTATATTAACAAAATAAATGTCAGTTAATATGACCAAAAAAACTTCCTCCTGACATAGTTGATTGTTACTCAAAGCCTTTAAAGAAATATAAATACCTTGTAATTTACATATCACAATTTTTCATTGACATAAGGCTAGATGAACATAACATGGAAGCAATGAAAGAATGTAAATGACTAGGTACTACACAAATGCTCAGA